AAGCACGGGAATGGCGCTCGCGGTGCGGAGGAGCCCGTGCTGGCTGCCCCCTCCCTCTGTCCTTTGCTCCTCTGTGGGCCGCCACGGGGTAATTTCCAACCTCCTCTGCTCTTTGCTCTTTCCCCTCTCTCTGGGTTTTGAAGCTGATCTATTTGTGCTGCCACATCCCTCCTGTCTTGCTGCAGGGCAGACAGGTGCCTTCCCATTCCCTGCTCCCCGAGGAGCAGAGGGGGAGCCGAGTGCCTCTGGCTGCTGGAGAAGCCAGTCCTGCCCGGAGGCACCTTGTGCAGGGGGAAGGYGGCGGGAGATTGTTTTAATGGGATAAAAGCTGTGCTCAGCACGAGGCTCTGCGCAGACCTGCCCGCCCCGGCGGTGACCGGCCTGCAAGGCCTTCACTGCTGTCACTAAAGTGAAGTGAAAGAGGAAGCAAAAACGTTTCCATCCTTTAAACTGGACGAGCAGCTTTGTTTTTGTATAACCCACACGTAGTGAAATGCAAAACGTCCTSAGCCTCCCTCGGTTTTGTCTTCCCCTGCGCCTTTCCTTCTCTCTCGAGAGCTATTTTCACTGGAGGGCTTTGCGGAAGCGAGACCCGAGTGGTGCAATCTGTGGCCCTGCCTTGATGCAAGCAGGAGGGGAAGTGACCTCAGCCTGGCAGAAGAGGTTCGGCAGGTCTCGGCCTCTGAAAAGAGGAAGCCTGCTGGTGTTTCGTCGTGAGGAAGCAGCCAGGAGCGAAGCTGGGCCGGGCGCTGCCCTCCCGCGCGGGTCCCGCTCGCACCGCGCTGCGGGCGGCTGCGCAGAGCAGGGGCTGGCACTGGAGCGAGCCGCCTCCTGGGGCGCTGGGAGTGGGGCTTTGGCTCCCGGGAAGCGCCCTGGACCGCTCCCCTCTGCCTGGYTTCACTGCGGCCGGTGTCCGAGCGCCGGCATCCAGCGCTGCGTCCTTGCCCTGCGTTGCCGACGCCTGCCCCGGTGAACGGGCAGTGCGGGGGAAGTCGGGCTGAAATTGGGGATAGACCCAACTCGCTGTGGGCAGGCAGGGAGTTCCCTGTGGTCACAGCAGTGACACAGCCTGGAGAAAAGTGACTACCTCTTATTTGGGCAAAAAAAGGTGTAAATCCCGTTGCCGCCTGGAGATCTTTTTCTCTGTGTTCACATGTAGTAAGCCCGATGTGCCCTATTTTCTGTGCTGAAGCCCTTAAGAGGCAGGAATTTGCACCTTACCGAGTTGTAGCGGACTCAGTTGTTTAAGGGGATAGGTCTGAGTTGGTGGCTGCAGTTCGGGGGTTGCAGGGAGCGCTTCRGTTGCGCCTCGGGTCAAGCCTGTTGCGTGGCCCCTTCCTACCGTGTCCCCTGGAAGCTGCTGGTGGCAGGGGGACACAAGGCRGGGGTGCAGCTCTTACCGGTAGATAAGCTGGGGACTATCTATATATATCAATTGCTTTCCCTTGCCTGTTATTGACTGGCCAGGGATTCCCCGTTCCAAGAGCTGGTGCATCCTCCAGGAGGGSAGTGTGGACAGCACTATTTTTAGAAATGATTAAACTCGTCTTAGAGRGCAGAGATGATAGCAGCAATTAAGCTCATCTGCGTTTGCTTCCCTTGCCGGCGTCACTTGAGGTGAGTTTATTAATGAAAGTGGGTTACTGTGCAAGGTAACTCCGTGACATGGTTTTCCACTGCTAAAGTGCCAGATTTTTTGGAAGGCTCCAGATGCCTCGAAATGAAAGCCCGGGGGGTCTAACGCAGTCTTAGCGCCAGAGGYGGAGGACGAGGGTGGAGACCAAGGTTCGGTGCTGCTTGGCACCACAGGCAGTGCCTTGGGAGCTGGAGACTTCCCCGTTGACCGCGTGCCTGGGGCAGAGCAGCGGGACGGGGAGAGCTGAGCGCAGCGTCCTGCAGCGGCTGCYGCTGCACAGGCTGCGGCTCCGGGCAGCTGGAGGTGGGCTGGGCTGCCAGACCCCTGCTCCCGGCTCCCTTCTCCAGCTGCTTGACTTTGCTCCGGCATTTCGGCTTCCAGCGCAGGGCTCTCCCTTTCCTTGTCCGTACGCGTCGTGAGAACAGTGCCAGGGAAACGCGGCTTGCTTGGGATGACTGCTTTGTTGGGTGAATCAAGAGCAGAAATCTGCATGTTCTGTCATTTTTCTGACCTCTTCTCCATTCATTAGGAGCTCTTGCATGTAGGTGTTTGTGCAGCCAGCTAAAAAATCTTCATTTTCTTCCCACAAAAGAAATTGCCCTTGGAGAAGAAAGACTAGAAATTCTCCTAGACATTCTGAATGCTAATGATACTGCACAGGTTTTTGCCCTGGAGTCTACTTTTCATCAGCAGCGTGTGCAGAATAAGCCTGAGGAGCCGCAGCTAGAGGCAGGAGCGCGGCCGCCGCGGGGCTGTGAGCACCTACAGATTGCATCAGTGTTCCCTTCAGCCACGGCTTCTGCGGGCAGCCCACAGCAGTGGGATTCACACGCCACGTGGCACGTGGGAATTTACTGTAGCGCTAGTTTAGGTGGCCTGCAGAGGCCAGAGGGACACATAAGGTGTTTCCAAGGGATGCGGTTCTCCCGTTGGTTCTGGCTGCTGTGTCCTGGCTCCAGGGAGACGTCTCGGTGCCCTCAGGCTGCTGCAGTGCTGCCGGGTGGGCTCGTGCGCCTGCAGTGCTCCCCTGTGCAGCACGAGAATAGAGGTTGTGTTYGCAATGGCAAGAGCACCTGGTCTGCAGTCGTAATGCTGCTGTTTGGTTAAGATTCTCCTTAAGAATATCCAGCTGGTCGCTATGAGCAGGTTGCACTTCAGGTACTCCAGAAATCTGGAGACTGAGAAAACWGTGGGCGGCAGTGGGCGAGGAGGGAGTTCCACATCTCAGCTCTTTTCTCTTGATTTCTGAGCATTCTGGTGCTTTGGGGTCACATATTTCAGGGTTTTTTTTTTCCTTTTCTTTTTTCTTTCCCTCTCTCCTCCTGCAATCACAAAGACGCTTTCAAAGGGAACTGCAGTTGTCAGGGGCTCCACATAGGGATGGAAATCAAAACGCTCATGGTTCTGGGGTGCGAGGAGAGGCAAGTGCTGGCGCAGAGACCGCTTAAAGGGTGTTTTTGCAGCCCGGAGCCTGGGGACGGGCCCTGGGCAGCGCAGGCGCCGCGTCCTGGAAGCCGCTGCTGCTTCCTGCCTGACACTGGGCTCCAACCGAGCCGCGGAGCCGCGCGGAGAGGCCGCRCGGGCTGAGGGGCACGAGCTGCTCCCTCCCCGCGGGATGGGATGGACGGTTCCCTGCGCGTTTCCAGTGGCTTTCGGTACCGCCCCAGGGCCGCAGCTCGGCTGGGTCCCTCCTCTTCCTCTCGAGCAGAGCAGGAGCGGACGGGGAGCCCCGAGATGAGCAGAGCAGACGGGGCCGCAGGCAGTGCCGGGCGCAGCTGGGCTGCCCCCTCTGCGCCGCTTTGGGTAGGGACCAGGCGATTGTTCCTAGTTGAATAAAGGCTTAATTGTAACTCAAGTGTCCCCAGTGCTTTCTAAAGAAAAGCAAACAGAACTGGAGCACAAGAGGCTCGAGTTCCCCGGGCGGGGGGTTAGGAAAGCTTGCCAGAGCCCGGCTTCCTGCCTCCCTAGTCCCGTGGTTACAAAGGTCAGCTTGAAAACGGAGCCTTGAAATTGAATCCCTTSTCAGCCTGGCCTGGAACGAAGGAAGGGAGGGTGGGGATGGCGTCGGGGAGATGGGATTATCCATAGGAAAGCAGAGAAAAGCCGAAGGGATAAGAAGACCCGCGTTTCTGCATGCCCTGTCGGAAGGAATGAGGGTCCCTCTGGTGCTGCCGGGGCCTCGCCGGGGCTCCCGCGCGGTCTCTCCTCGGTAACCCTGCCCTTGCGCACGCGTCCCGCTGCCCTCCTTTGCTGCTCGTTCGCGGAGCTGTGGCCGGCGGTGAAGCTGCGCTTGGCTCGAACTTCCTGCCGGGCCCTCCTTCCTGCCGGGAACCCGCGCGAGGCCAGTGGCGAGGCCGGCGCCGCTGCCTGCCAGCCCCTCCGCGAGGCTGAGCAGGAGGCCGAGGCGGCGCCGGGATGTCCCGGGCTGCTGCTGCCACCTGCTGCCACCTGCCCTGCYGTGCCCTCCGTGCGCGGGGCCGGGACGCACGCCAGGGCCCGCCCGAGCCCCTTGGTGCCGCCCGGGCGCCCTCGCCGCCCTCCTCGCTCCCGAGTCGCCCTCGGGACCCGCGGTGCCCGGGCTGCCCTCTCTGCCCATCCATCTTCCTCAAGTCCTGGCACCAGCAGGAGGTTCCAGGGCGGCCTCGGCAGAGGAAAGGCTGCAGTGGGCATCCTGGTGCTGGAGAAAAGCGCAGAGAGCACACAGCACTGAGGAACGGGTAGAAAGTCTTCMCCAAGTGCATGTTTTGGGCCCAGCCTCTCCAGTCAGGCATTTCTCACATTCTAGTGTCTTTAGCTCCCTCTAGCCCTCATCCTGTCTGTCTACTTCTGTCTCCACTCTCTCCGCACCCTCTTCTCCCTGCCGGCCTCAGACCCTCTTTCCTTTGGTGTCTGCCTTYGTTTCTCCCACCCTTGGCCGTCCTGGCTCCCAGCACCCACCCGGCCGCGGCTGCTGCTCCCTGCCCTGCTGGATCCGGCTCATTCGACTGCGGGGGGAGCTGGTCCCGCTGCCGTCCCGGTACCACTCCCTGGCCACCTCTCCAGCATGGGGCTGCTTGGGAAGAGCTTCCCGCTCGCCTGGAGCACCCGTGACCCGGCCCGTCCGTGCGGCGCCCACGGGGGCTCCACGCTCGGCAACCCTTCGCTTTTGCTGGGCCTCAAACCCCCGCTCTCGGCCGCTCCGGGAGCAACTCTGACATCCGCAACCCCCTCATCCTCCATTCTTTTTTTTCTCTACAAGATTTAGGTTTTTTTCCAAGAGGAAAAAAAAATAGTGTGTCAATAAGTAGCCTGTCCCAACTAAACTTCACCTCTTCTGTCTAGGTTTTACTTACCATACCAGAGCGGCTGATGCAAAAATCTTAAACTTGCCAAGATCTGGGATTTTTCTGCTCATCCTCTTGACCTCTTAAGGTATCTGACTCCTCGGCCGTTTTGCTCCTGCAGTCTCTCCCTGCACTCCCATTTCCAGGTTCCTCCCTGGCAGCCTTGCTCCTTCGGGACCTTCCTGTGGGGCTTTGCTCGCCGGGGCTCCCGCGCGGTCTCTCCTCGGTAACCCTGCCCTTGCGCACGCGTCCCGCTGCCCTCCTTTGCTGCTCGTTCGYGGAGCTGTGGCCGGCGGTGAAGCTGCGCTTGGCTCGAACACAGCTGGTCAACTGATCCCGGCTCCTGGCTTGGCCTCCTCAGCCCACAAGCACAGCTGAACTTCCCCGTGAAACCCTTGTGCCCTCCCGGCTTCATTCCGGCTCCGCGCTCCCCCATTCCACCCGTGTCAGCTCAGGGGCTCGYGCGCTGCTCACCTCCGGTGCCCGAGCTCCCTTGTGTGGTTTTAGGGTCGGGTTTTAGGTAAGGCTCGCTTTGAGGAGGATKCTGCAGCGTTTCTGCCTGCAGCCTTTCCCCCCAGGCCTCTCCACACTCCCGAGGCCTGCTCCCAACGCCCCATTGCAGTGTCCGGGGTGCAGTCGCCTGGTTTGAAATCTCAATGTTCCTGCTTCACAAGCAGCTTTTCCAGAGACTCCTCAGCCTGTTCGTGTGGGGTTTTTTTGTTTGTTTGGGGGTGTTTTATTTATTTTTAACGTGAAGGGAAGTGGTTTCAAGGCCCTTCTGTGATGATCTGATTCTCGCCCGGGTGGTGCCAGAGTCTTGCCTGTGGTTTCCCTGGAGGTTGCCCAGGTGGGCCCGTCCCCTGGAGCGCTGCGGCTGCTCCTGCCTGCCCCACACCTCGAGGAAAGGCTGCCCGTGACCGGGACACCTCGGCCGTAACCCCACGCTGTTGCCAAGCCCACGGTGGGCAGGTGAGAGCAGCCCAAGGCCTGGGGCATCGCAGGCAGCTCTGCTTGCTCCAGGACCTGTCACAGACCCATCAGGGACAGTCACCTGAAGAACAGATTGTGACGCAGTTTAAATACCGGKGAATGTGTCCGCTGTCTAATCCTCCCCTGCCTGTGCTTGGCGGGTGCTGCTCCTCCCGTGGGCAGCGTGTCCTGGGGCTGCGCTCGGGTGCTGCAGCGCGGCGGGTCGGGCCTGGGGCTCTCCCTCAGGAGCCCGCGTGCGCCGCCCGCTTTTGCTTCAGCTCCCGGCGCCGTTTGGGGCCTTTCCTGTGGGAACTTGCTGTCGTGGGGCCCGGCCACGTGGAGCCATGGCCTGGGCCGAGCAGCGGCCTCCCCGGGGAGCTGCTTCTGTGCAGGTCCCGGCACGGAGGCGCTGCAGGCACCGGGCCGGCCTGGGCCCCCGGGTGGGCACCGGGCCGGCCTGGGCACCCCCAGGAGCGGCGGGAGCAGCCGCCCTGCCTGCAGGTCCAGCCTCGCCTCTGCTGCTGCCCAACGCTGGCAGTTAAACCCTCATCCCTGAGTCTTTACCTAACTTCCCATCACAGATTAATCATTCCTAAATCCTGCTATCCTGAGCTTTGGGTTTTAATATTGATAGATCAGTAATGAAGGTAAGAATAAATAGGATCTGCCCAAAGACTGGTTCCTGGTGGCCTTCAGGAGAAGCAGCCTCTGGATGTTTAGTTTTGCTTAAAATACCAGAGCTCATCCCATACAATCTGCTTTGTGTCTCACTCTGTGCTCTGACATTAATTGTATTTTTAGCCTTTAATTAGTTGAGAGCCCTGACATGGCTACTCTGTTTTTAGGATCAGAATAAGGTTAATCGGCTACCCATAGTTTCTCCTAACATTCATGTGTTATTTTGRGTTTATTTATTTATTTATTTTAATGTTAGAACTTGCCTTCCTGCTTTAAGCCCCCTAGAAAACAATTCCAGGGCTGGAAGAAGAGCTGAAATTCCAGGGATACGGCGGCGGGGCCATGCAGAGCCCTTCCTGCGCCCGCAGGCGCTTGGCAAAGTATTCCGAGCAATTAACGTGGAGCAATTAACGCAGGCCGTGGTGGGCAGGGGCCCTGCACCCGCAGCCTCATTAGGGCAGCGCTAACGAGGCCGGCAGCGCCCCGGCCTCCCCCACGGGAGCACCCTGGTTCGCAGCCCCCATTACCCACGGGCCGTTCCTGGGTGCGGGGCTGCAAATGCCGGGGCTGCTGTGGTCAATAAGGGCTTCCGGAGCGGTTGTGTTTGTCAGAGCGCCTCTGTGAGCRCCGACACGCCTGGAGCGGCGCAGGCCTTTCCCTGCAGGCCTTTCCCTCTGCCAGCCTAACGGCGTGCACCGTTTCTAGAGCGTATGCAGCCGTGTGGCACCTCTGTGGAAAAGTGTCYGGGCTCTGCACATCCCTGTTTGGGTCTGGAGCGGGGACGGAGCAACGGGAGAGCAGCAGGGGAAGAGCCRGGAGGTGTGGGGTGCGCGGGGCCCCGCAGGGCGCGAGCGGCTCCCTGGCAGCGTGGGGCGGCAGCGCGAGGCTCGGGCTCTTGCTGTGGCTTGGGGAGCCCAACATCCTGCTTGGGAGCCGTTCCTGGAGCAGCTTGCTGGGACACCCCCCAGCACAACGGGGGGTGCAGCTCGCCCGCCTGGACACCCCAACGGCCCAGCCAGGAAGCCGCCAGACGTGGCCCTTCCCAGGGAAAGAGCAGCACAGCAAGTCCCGAGGCAGAGAGAACTTGAACGGGAAGGCGCTTGGGATATCAGCAGAGGGAAGCTGCTGGTGTTGGAGTTACCTGCCCGGGCTCCCGCAGGGCATCACGAGCAGCTAACTGGGCCAGCGGCAGCTCTGGCAGAGCAAGAGGCCCCGGGCTGTCCTGCGCAGCGCGCGTCGTGCCGGGGTTTTGTGCTRTCTCCTGGTTCCTGTCGCCTCGTGAATCCTGGGGAGCTCCTTCGGCTGCGGCGCGTCCCGGCTCTTGAACGCGGGGCCCGGGGAGCCTGTGGACCGGAGGAGACGYCACGGGGCTGCGCTGAGCTGGCCGGAGGCTCCCCGGCCAACCGGGCTCCTCTTGGGCARCGCGGCGGTGCAGGATGGCGCGGGGGAGGCACAGGAAGAGCTCCTGAAACACGGCACAGCCCAAGGGTTGAGCGGATAGCAGCGACCAGCTCCTTCCCCTGCAGGAGGGCAAGTGGGGAAGCTCAAGTAGCCATTAGGGAAGATTTAATAAATTGGTACAAAGCGTACTGCAGAAAGTACTCGTGCGTCATTCGGTGTTATCAATAATTTAGAGAGCTGCAAATTAACRAGGAAGGGCTGCTTAACCCTTTGCTTCCCCCGCTGGCTACGCTTCTCCAGCTAACCTGGAAGTCACCGGTTCCCGTGGGTCCTCCTAGCGAAACTGGAAGCTGCTTCATCTCTTCCTATTTAGTCTGAGATCTGTGATCATGATGCTAAACAATGGAAAGAAAATAATGTTCCTCCACTTCCAAACACACTAGWTTTGAAAAATGTTACTGTGGTATTTGGCTTTTTTTTTATTTTTTCGGGAGGAAAAAAGTTGATTCTGTCATGGTTTTCTTGTTTGTTTTTCCATGTTTTCCTGAAACTTGTTAATCTGCTTTTACATGTAAAGGGGAGCTGGTGAGCGAGATCTGAAGCCTTTCTAAGTTTCTGTTCTCTGCCCTGGCCTTTGGCACTGAGGGAGAGGGTAGACCGTGAGAAGGTGCCAAACGGGGGCAAAACTCATCAGACCCATTGAACGTTCCTGCAGCTTCGGCGTGCTGCTYGTTGCTGCTAATTGTGAGACGTTGGCTTTAGCTGGTGTCCAAGTCATCATCAGACCCACTGCTTAGGCGGTCAGTGCCCCCCAGCCCTGATAACACTGGTTGTTTTTAAGAGCAATTGAGAGTCACATTTGCAGGTCTCGGAGGCGCTTGTGTTTGCGGTGAATCCCTCCGAGGAGGCGCACAGAGCACAACRGGGACAGAACTTGGATGCAGGAGGGAAGCTGTTGATCAGCGGATACCATCCAAGAGAATCCAGGCTTGAATGTCCAGGAAGGCTCTTTTCTTCTCCCTAAATGCCAGGGACRCTTGTGGACCTACCAGTGCTCTTGGAGAGCATCTTCTCAACGCAGGCCCCTGCGTCTTCCTGCCTTGAGCACGTCCGTCCATGGGAAGCTGCGTGGTGGGAGGGCTGTTTTGATGAGCTGCCCAGGCCAGGGCAGGAGTTGAGCGTGTGCTCCGTCCTCTCAGGGAAGGAGATTTCCTCCTGGTTCCTTTTCCTGCTCTTGGTAACATAAAGATGAAAGGAGAGACTTCTCCCTTGTTACAAGCTTTCCGAGAGTTACTTTGGARGTGGAAGCAATTTCATTTCTTGAGTATCTGTGGGAATAAAATAAGGCAGAATATGGGGAAGAGGCCGTATCTACTCCAGTTTCGTCATCAGTGTTGGTCTTGCACAATTTCTGCTTCTGAAGCTCTGTTCTTGCTCCCAGAATGTGCTTCTCTTTTTTCACCCCGGGCAGTGAGTCCTGCACGTTGTGTGTGTAGCAGCTGACCAGAAGCACTTGGTGTCTTCCCGCAATGCTGAAGCTGTTTGCAGCAGCCCTTCCAAAGGGCCCTCACTGGAGGTTAGCAATGACAGGGGCAGGTTATCAGGTTATTGGGTTCCTCACAGTGCCGTGCAACGTGTCACGTATTTATCCTGCACTATCGTCACTGTTGACCTAAACTTCTGCTTTTGGTTCTCATTGCTCTCTATAGGTGTCTAGTGGATCAACAAGAGGAAACCGAGCTGCGCTTGAGCTAGGACCTTTGGAGAGTCTCTGAGGATGGTGAGTACACGTTCTCATGAGACTTCGTGCCTCTTTAGTTGTATCTCTGAGTCTTGCGCTGCTGCTAAGTGTGTTGAGGAGGAGCTGAGAACTGTACTCACGGGAGCTCAATTGGGGAATGTGACCAAAGATGTTTTCACTTTGGGGAAAAACGGAAGTAATCCAGGTAGGAAAAAGGGATCTACCCCCCCATCTTTCCCTCCCCTCAAAAAAAAAGGCCTGTATTTTGCTTGCTGAGCAGTAGGAGAGGGTTGTAGCTCTTGGCAAGCGCGGGGTGGTTGGGATGGGGGATCCCTGTGAGGATTCGGCACTGGGTGGCTATGGGCTAAGGTGAGAGTTTGTGTGGAAGAGAAGAGCTTTGGGAATGCTGCGTGTAAGTAAAAACACACATTGGTTTATTAAAAAAATAAAAATATGAAAAAATAAAAAATGAAGGATTTGAAAAATACAAATAAGGCGTTTTAGTGAAGGACTGAAACAAAAGTGGGTGGGTGGTTTTACAAATGTGCGTGTTATCTTTCTGCTGGTCCCTGTATCCAAAATTGGTTAATGGGTTGCGAGAAGGGGGATCTGTACAGCCTCAGGTCTAGAGGCAGCGCGCGGCGGCGGCCAGCTGAGCGCGGCGCACGCTTGCTCCGAGGGCACGGAGGGGCTCGTTCAGACCCGGGGCCTGCTTACGGCCAGGAAACGCTATAAACCCTGGTGCTTCCACCTGCTAGAGCAAGGGCCAGCACTCTGGGCTTCTTGCAGATGTTTTCAGAGCAGGTTTTGTGAATGAAAAGCTTGGCCATCGTGAGCTCTCTGTCTTCCCTCTGGAGTAGGGACGGAACCATGTGGAGAAGATCGGGACACAAGAAGCCAGAATAGAGACAGAAATGGGAAATAGTGCTGCAGGATTGTGCCCTGTGTGTAATGATTAGAGTATAAACATCTCTGAAATGTTGCTGTAGCCAAGATGCTGTTCATGGTATGAATTTACCTTTGGATTTGTGGTTGTTTTTTTTTTTTCCCCCGCTGTATTTTAATAAGCCTGGAATGTTCTAAATCCTCTTCTGCCTCCTTGAGTTATTGAGATAGGCAGTTTCTCTTGATTTATCAGTTTATTTTTGTTTTAAAACATAGTGTTGGGTTTTCTTCTTCTGTTCATTTATCACTTCCCATTGTAACGATTAAATACCAGTCTTATAACATGCTTCAGTGATGCCAGAGTAGCAGAAATCCCCAAATCTCCCGGGATGGAAAATCTTCTCTGTGGTTCAGGAAATTCTGAAACCTAGAAGTAATTTCTAAATGTTTCATTAGCCGCCAATGGAGATTTTGTTTTTCTTCTTTTCTGGACTCACCAAACTGCTCGCTGAAATCAGGTTCGTGTTTGCAGTTTCAGTACATTGTGGCAGACTGACACTGCAGAGTTGTGTTAAGTAGCTCCTTTAGGTTCATTTTTTGGACCTGTCCCTAGTGGCTTCATCTCATTCTCCCGAGTTCCTGCTTTGGAAGCAGTGGTCAACTGTGGGGCTGCCCGTAACCTCTTGGAGCCTTTGCTTGTTGTGGATGTGTCAGACCCTGCCAGCCGTTGGAGGAGCTCACCTCTCTTGATCTGCTGCCTGTACAGAAGGTGGCTGCTGCCGGTAGCGATGTCACCCCTCTTTGACCCATTCCAATGTTAGTGTGTCCCATTGGGGATGCTTTCACTGGAACTTCAAGGTTTGTGTCCCCTTTTGAGTTTATGCAGTGCTGCTTTTGTTCTCTGTTCCTTTCTTCTTGTATCCGTCCCTGGGTGCTTTCATGGTGTGCTGTTAAGCACTGAGTATTTATGGAATGGTGGTGGCTCAGGATCCACTGCTTAGTGACACATTCTCCCTTTTGCCTTCCAGTGGTGGTGCTGCATTCCCATGATAGAGATGTCCAAGCCAGTGCTCGTGTTGACATGAGAACGTTGCTCGCTGCATCCGTGGTGATGCTCCCCAGCCCTGCTGGCACACTTAGGGAAACATGAAGCTTTTCCTTTTCGTCATCCTTCCTGCCTTTTAACGGATGCCTGTTCTGTGATCTTTACTTCAGGGCTGTGACTTTGGAGTTTCACATGGCTCTGCAGGGGGTTGTTGCAGGCGAAGGGACGCTCTGCACCCTGGCAATGTAGGGAGGAAGGGGCCAAGCTCTTCTGGGTGGTGGCCAGTGACAGGACCAGGGGCAATGGGTGTAAGTTGAAACCCAGGCAGCTCCATCTCCATGTGAGGAAGAACCACTGTGGAGATGCCCGAGCCCTGGCCCAGGCTGCCCAGGGAGGCTGGGGAGGCTCCTGCTCTGGGGATCTCCCAACCCACCTGGATGCGACCGGGTGCCCCGTGCTCTGGGTGTCCCTGCTGGAGCAGGGGCTGCACTGGGTGATCCCTAGAGGTCCCTTCCAACCTCAGCCACTCTGTGGTTCTGTGAACACAAATGCAGGTCACCACTTGCTCTCCCCTTTGTGTTACCACGGAGCTTTAGGCCAGCCTCAGTGAAGAGCTTTCCTTGGATAGTTAGGCTGGCCTCATTTCTCCCCAAAGGCTCTCTGCTGCTGAAACTGCCCTTAGAGACAGCACTGATGAGGGCTTAGTCCCTTGATTTGGCTAATGGAGGTTCTAACAAGCAGCCAGCACCTCTATACGATACTTAAAACTAATCTAGAGTAGGTGAGTTAGCGCAAGCAGTTCTGCTGTGACCTCGTCGCAAAGATCACAAGTTGACCCTCGCCACGCTGGCCCTGATCTGCTGCACACAGAACGTGGCTTCTTGCCCTCCTCGTGCTCCTTTAGCAGTTTATTTCTGGGAGGCCACGTCAGTGGCCCAGCAGTCTTCTCGGTTCACCAAGGGCCTCCTTGGGCTTTGAGGAAATGCGCTGTTTTTGAAGAGGGAGGTGAAACAAAGGTACCCTCCRCCCAACAGAGGCAGAGGAGACAGAACGCGCGGTCCTGGTGGCAGAGTTTAGATAACAGTTCCTGCCTCAGTGCTCACGGGAAGTGTCCAGACCTGGACGGGCATAAACGAGTGCCCGCAGACACCTCTCTGCGCTGGRAGCGTCTCGGCTCGGGCGGTCTGAGGCTCCCGGAGCCACAGGCTGTCGGGCGGCTCCTGTCCCCATGGAGCAGGATGCCATGGAAGCCTCTGCCCCAGGAATCTCTCTCCTGAGAGTTTTTCTCGTGGATTTTTTTATCCCTATCATGTGGGGCAGCCTATGCATAGGATGCAGGATGAGAGACAAGCCTATGGGTGCATGTTGCCTCCAGCCATTTCCATAACTCCTTGCTTTCCCTTCTCTCCCTCTCCAGGGAGCTCTCTCATCCTACAGCACTGTGCTGACTGTGCACGGCTAATAGGTAAACGTGATGGAAGTGGTGCCCTCTGTCTAATGAAAGAGTWTTTATAGCAAATTTATTTGTGGTGCCAAAAATAAATGGAGGATAAAGGTGTGTTGGGATTGGGAAGGGTAGGGTTGTATTCAAAAGCTTGRGTGCAGAGTGACGGTGGTGGCACCGAAGATCTTCCTGCAGTGGCAGAGACCAGCGCTCCTCGGCYTCGTGCTGCCCGCCTCCACCGTGCTGCTGGTGCTGCGAGTGGCACCCACGTTCCCCCAGGGATTCGGGCCCCTTTGGTCCGGGTGTGTTTCGTTCCAGGTCTGTGGGCACTGAAGAGCTGCGCTGGGGCGGCCTGTCGTTTCTGAAGACAGGGACGGGTTGCTGTAGACCTGCAACGAAGACGGGTTGCGAAGAGGGAACTGGGCAGTGAAGGTGCCAGCTGTTCACTGAACGCTGCCTCTTATGTTGTGTGGAAGATAGAGCCCAGCCYGTGAGGAAGGGATGTAGTTCAGCAGGTTGAGTCCAGGCCACGAGAGAGACCTCAGCACCGTGGTGACTGCCTCAAGCAGAGAGGTCCTGGCTTCATGCCAGCATGTCCACGTAGGGAATATCATCCACAGTGGAGGCTGYGGGATGGCCCAGGAGCTGCATCCTGCCTCACCGAGCAGCTCTCAGAGCCCCCAGGCCCCTCCTGGGACRTGCAGGAGGTTCCCCCGCTGCGTGGTGAGGCCTGCGGTGTGCGAGTGGRGATGTGAGCAGGAAAGGGAGGCGTCCTGCAGGAGAGCCACCCGGGCTGTGAACCGTGGGCCTTGCCGCTCAGAGGAGACATGGTCCATTCCCAGGAGCTGGCCCTCAGAACATGCTGTCCACAGGGCATTTGGCTTCTCTCTTCCTCGTGGTTCATGAAACCTTTAGAGGGAAACTGAGGAAGGTTCCTGTCTTGCACTGTCCTCAGGAGAGAGTCAGCAGGGCCAAAAGGGTTCTGCTTGTCCTGCTGGTGCCCCAGTGGCAGCCCCAGCGTGAATGTGCACGTGGATAACGCTTGGAGGAGCCCAGTTGCAYGTAAACCTGGTCTTCCTTGTCCAGCCTTGTGGCTGTTAGCGACACTGCAGGTAGGGCAAACACCAGCAGTTTGGCTGTGCAAACATCTGACTTGGCTAGAGAGATTCCTAGAAGCCGAGGCAGCTGGAATAAGGCTGCATGCGCCCCAAGTCCCCTACTTCTAACCACACGGACCACGCTGCACTGCAGTTTCACTGTCTGGGAAGCCAGCTTAGCTTARAAATTCCAACTAGTGCCCTGGTGATCCCCCTTTCAGCTGTGCCCAGCTGCATCTCAGAGCTGCGAAGGCYCCTCAGCAGCCCCGCTGGTGTTGGCCTGCAGGAAGGACCTGTGGGAAGCAAGGCACTTCTCCAGGTGCTCAGGAGCCAGGGTTACGTCTTGGCCAAGATGTAACATGTTAGAAATCATGAACYTTGCCCGTAAGCCTCTCTTCTCATGGTGTAAGTGCTGACTTTATACCTAGAGCAAATATGCGTAGGGTTGGATGTGTCTCCTATGCAGGGCTTGGCAGAGATGGTGCAGAGGAGCCTGTGRGTTCCCGCTGGAGTTGGGCACCTCTGGGGCTGGGCAGCGTGTGCCCAAGTCCAGGCCACCACGTAAAGAGTGGGGCTGAGGGGAGCATCTCGGCACACACAGCAGCATTTCCTTTTAGGACTTCTCTCCGTCAGCATCTGAGCAGTGTGGCCTGCACAACCTTGTGGGTTTGGGGTACTCCGTGCTCTTGGTTTCTCAGCAGCTTTGGCCTGGGCATTGGTGCCCTGCAGTGGTAAAAGGGAGCAGACTTGGGCATTGCACAACTGTGTCTTGAGCAAGGATGCTCCAAAAAAAATGTAAGCCTTCCATTTCTGTGGAGAAATGCCCCAATCTTTTATCTGGTTTTAGAAAAACATTCAACATGTTCTTGTGTCGCTATTTGGACTTGTCTGTTGATGACCATGGGGCAAGGAGATGTACAAGCTCAGCAGCTGCAGGCTCCATTCTGCTCCAACTGGGGACCCTTATCCCAGAGCAGAAGAGCTGGGCTGATTCAGCCTGACCTTTTGAGGATTAATGAAGTGCTAGACTTGCTTYTTGAAGGGGAAAAAAAAAAAGACTTTAGGGCCTTATTTCAGTCTTACATGTGCTGATCTGTCACCAAGCTTTATAAGACACCCCRGAGGTCTAATTCTTACCCTTTGGCTTTCTGCATGGCCACCAGGAAAGTGTTTTGAGCAAGGATCCTCTTCCCTGTCACYTCCCTGTGTCAGGAGCTGCCCATGCCTGACCCGGGACGGCCGCTAAGGGGCCCGGATGATCCCAGCACCTCGCGAGAGGTAGAGGGCAGAGCCACAACCAGAGGTGCTGCTGCAAAGGGAGACGTCCCAGGCGGAGCTCGCAGCGGGGCCCTGCGCCGTGGCCTGCACAGCTTGCCCGTTGCTCGTGCTCTTGCSTAGCACCAAGCAGTCAGGCAGCCCCTGGGGCCAGGGCGTTGAACCCCTCCGCGTTTCCTGCCCCCGAGGGCCCTGCTTTGTGCTCCGCAGGCAGGGCTAGCTTGGAGGTGGTGCAGCCTCCCCTTGCAGCTAAGTGCCTGGGGCTGGGAAGGAGCTGCGGGTGGCCCCGTGAAGCCTGCTCTGCAGCAGGGCACCAGCGCCCGTGTCYGGGCGCGGGCAGGGGCTGAAGGCACCCGCTAATCCCGAGCGCAGCAGCATCTCCTCCAGGGAGGAATGGCAGGAAGGCTCAGAAGCAGTTTGGGGGCACTGCAGGTGCCGGAAGCGGGACCCCTTTGTGCTGCCTTCCCTGACCGTGTGCGCAGGGCTTTGGGAAGCCGCTCTGCTGCCGGCAGCACCCTGTTTWTCCGCAGGGTGTTTGCGGGGCGGGGGGCTCGGCCGGCGCCCCGGAGCGGCGCGGGCAGGAGGGCCCCGCCGCATCCCCGCGTTGCGGCCKCCGCCCGCCCCGCGCTCCATTTTCTGCCTAGGCTGGCAGGAGACGCTCAGATGGCAGAGCCTGCCCGGCTTCCCGCGCGGGAGGTGGAGCCTGCCCGCCCCGCGCCGCCCTCCTCCATTGTGAGCAGCGGCCCCGGCGGCGGCGGCACCTGCTCGGGTGCCGGGGATGCTGCTGCCCTTGGCGCGCAGCGGGGAGGCCGCGCCGCGCGGGCCGCAGCCGGGCGCCGCGCGCGGGACATGCGGCGGCTTTTGTGCTGCCCCCCCTGCAAATGAACATGAGTCTGCCAGGCCGCGTCTCCTGCTCCATGCTCAACTGCTTTGTAAGTGCATCCTCCTCCCTTCCTCCTCCCTCGCCCGCAGCCCCGTGTCCGCGAGCAGGGCCACCCGCCAGCTTCCCTGGCCGGCTGCCCCGGCCCTGGGCTGTCCTTGAGGCCGGGCTGCCTCAGATCCTGCCCGCTCTGCCTTGGGGTGCTGCCGGTCGCGCTGGCTCCCCTTTGTGCGCAGGGAGTCCCCTCCTTGGTGGCTCCCTGCCGGGCGCAAGGGCAGAGCAGCGGTGGCTGCGGGAAGGGCTGCCCTGGCGCCTCCCACCGCCCCCTGCCATGGGAGAGCAGCCAGCACGCGGGCCGGAGCCCTTCCCCACCGCCCTTTCCCGGGAGGAGCGAGCCGGGCTCCCGAGCCGGCCGCCGGCCCCTGGCACAGGGCCTGAGCAGCCTGGCTTGGCTGCCTCCCGGAGAAGGGGATGGGAGACCCTTCTTCCAGAGAGCCCCCMCAAGGTGTTGTGGTCAGGGGGCTGGGGTGAAGGCAGAGCCGGGCTGAGCTCTGCGCCCCGTTGTGATGGCCAGGGAAGATGCTGGGCCCACCTTGTGTTCACAGGGCCTGAAGGACCCGCAGGCCGGTGGGGGATCCCACGCTGCTCCGGCCCGGCTGCTCGCAGGGGTTTCTTTGTGAGCTGCAGTGGCGACTGGAGAGGACGGGGCGGGTGCCGGCCGCGGGCCCGCGGCGCTCGCGGTGCCACCCGTGCCTTYGTGCCCTGCGCGCTCGGCACCCGCGTGGGCCGGCGCCGGCAGGGCCCTGCGCCGGGCTCCACGGAGCTCCCGCCGCGCGTCGGCGATGCCGGAGCTGCAGATGCGGCTCTTGGCTGTGCCGGGTACCCGGTGAGTGCCGTGACTCCACTCACAGCGGGAGGAGGAGGAGGAGGAGGAGGCTTCCGAGTCATGCACTCAGAGCTGGATGTGCTCTGTAAGGGAAGGCTGGAATTGGTTTCTTCTTAATCTCCAGTGAAAACATGAGGTCATTGGGCATCGCTTTAAACGCAGCTGAATCAGAAGGCTAGGGTCCCTGGATCAAAATTTGGGAGTCTAGCCTAGATGACTTAGCCGGAAAGGTATTTTATTTTAATTTTTTGTTGTTTAATGCTTGCAGAACTGGGCACTTCCTAWTAAATGAAGGATTTCCTAGTGGATTTGTAATTAGAAAAAACTTGAGAGTTTATAGAAGGAACTACCTCGCTTTTAAGARGCATTCTAAAGAAAAGGTCCCTACGCTGACAGGCTTCCCCATGTGAAATCAATGCCGTTCTTGACCCTCAGCAATGGACATCCTCTGTACRAGTGTCTGGGTACCTGCTTGTTTGTGGAGCGGGTTGGTAGGCAGAGCATGGGCGAGGGGCAGCGAAGAACTGAAGGGGCTTTTGGAAGGGACTCGGGATTCACAGGCCCAGGTTGAGATGCTCTTGACCACATTTCCAGGGATCGTGGGTCTTTAGGAAATAAGGAGACTTCTACTCTAAGGAAGTAGAAGTCCTTAAGGAAGAATCCACTCTAAGGAGTGGATTGGCTACCAAAGGTGGAGGAAGGCCAAGGTACATTTCTTCTCTCAGACTAGTGCTAGGCTCATAAAGGTAATTCTCCTGTGCTCCCTTGGCGCTTCATTAGCTGACGATCTTCCGCAGCACTCGCACCCCGGCTCTGTGTCCTCCCAGACCAACTCTCCGAGGCCTTTGTGGAATTTCCAGAGTTTCTGACTCATTGAGGGTTAGACATTTGTGGTGTCCTGGGGAAAAACACTCTGTTTTGGAGCTCTCAACAGTCAGTGGCACGTGTTGTGAGTTGGACCTACTTGAACACAGTAGCTGGGGGATTTACATTTCACATTCCCTAATCTCTTTCAAAAGCCTCAAGCTCTTCCCAGATTTCTTTGGGTTAAGAGTGAAAATAAAAACCTCCCAGAGGGGAGGTATTTGTAAAAGTAACGGGGGAAAAGAGTAGGTAAAAGTCAAAAGGTAGCTGGAACCCTCCAGCCTGTGGAACTTCTGCTGTGGTTCCGTACGAAAGGCAGCGGCGGGTAACCTTTGATGTGACTAAATGCCATCCTAGCGATCAGATGTGCTGAACTCCTGTGCATCTGCTTCGCTCTTGGAGGGGCTTTGAGCTGCTGTAGGTTTGTCTCGTGTGGGGTCCCGCAGAGGGTGCCGGAGGCTCCGGCTGCCTGGGCTTCGCTCCCGTCGCCGGCGCTGCCGGAGGCCGAGGCCRCGCGCTCACTGTTTGCTGTGTTTGCCATGCAGGGTGAAGAAGGCCCTCCGAGTCTGGAGTATATCCAGGCCAAGGACTTGTTCCCCCCAAAAGAGCTCATAAAGGAGGAAGAGTCACTGCAGGTAAGGAAGGAAGAATACAGAAACCCACCTCTATGGGATGCAGCAGGCTTGATCTTTATGGCCGCGTGAAGCCTGAGAGCCCGTCCAGGCGTGTCTGGGGGGCTGTAAGTTCCTGGGCACTGCGTGCCGAGGGCGGCCGCCGCCTGCGCTGCCCTCCCTGCCAGCCCTGGCGAGATGCTGCCGTTGGTGCAGCGCTGCCTCTGCTGCTCGGAACCGGCGTGGCTGCAGCGCGGAGCTGCCCGGGCGTTCCCCGTGCCCGGCCCGCTGGAGCCACTGGGCCTTGCATGGCTCTGCATCCAACAGCCCCGTGTGGGACAGCTGGAGCGTCCGAGCTCGGCTGCACCCCGCATGGCAGCAGCATCCCTCTTGCAACAGCTCGTGCAGCCCTCGCGCTCCTTGCTCCTAGCGCATCCCTGCTGCAGAGCTCTTGGAAAGAGAAGCCTCCTTGCGGTGCCAACCTCCTGCTGCAAAGGCCCTTGAAAAGGACCCGGGTGCAGCTGCTGCTGTGCAGCAACAATGATGGTCTGGACTGCGGGAGCCAAAACCTTCCCGTGTTTTTGCTTCCTTTAACATTGCCCCCGGCTACCTTGTCCCGCTGCACGTCCTCCTCCTGTGGCTCTGGCCAAGCTCTAATGTTCTGACGGCTGCCGCAGGGTTTGAGTTTGCTCCGTGGTTGGCAGCRTCTTGCTAAGTGGTGCTGATAAAAACAAGGACTAAAATGTGGCAACGGGAGGACTGACTGTGCAGGAAACATCGAGCACCACACGCTGAGGAGGGCCAGGGGAGCATARGGACAAGCTGCACGGCGGTAGCCTTCAAAAGGCAGATTCTCCAGGGTGATTCTGAACTGGCACCACTGGCAAAGAGTCTCCTACATGGGAGACTGCAAAGCTCGCCCTTCCTGCACAGTAATTTGCATTCAGTAGATTGTGGCTCTGTTAGTATGAAGTGAAATCTAAAGAGATACTGGCCACTGGATAACAAACTGTATTTGGATATTTGCAGTTTTATTCCAGGATTTCCCTTTGTGAGATCTTAGGGTTTTTTGAAAGATTCTCTCTCCCTTCTGCTTCTGTGTGACAGTGCCACACAAGCACAAGAAACATGCCAACCAAGAACAGTGTTGGCAAGCACACAAAGTAAACTGCAGAAATAAAGTGAAAACTGTTTGTCAGTGTCGGATAATTAAAWTTTCTAACCGGTTTTCAGACAGGTGCCACTTTAGGGTTGTTAGCATCCCCTAGTAACTTAGGCAGGGAGGGGTTGTCAGCTTGGTTGCCACATGAAGTCTGGAATCCGGGAAACTCGTTCTCAGGCAGCGTGTAGTCAAAGCCCTCAAAATAGTTTAGAAATGACAACATGGTCAGACWTGTTCTAATTACAGTATAATGAATTGTTTCATCAACTGCCCTGTCTGGCAAGCAAAGAGCTTTGCCTGAAATAATAAATCTTTGTGACATTTTTGCTAATTGGTCACCAAAATCACCTAGYGTAGGTGGCGTCCAGGGAACACTGAAGAGTTCACTTAGCTAAGGGAAGGGAGGCACAAAAGAAGGGCACAAAGAAACAGAAGCTGGATGAATTTTTGGCTGCTCTGCATCCTTCTTAATACCAGATAGGGGAAAAAAAAGAAAAAAGAAAAAGAAAACTTGGCTGTCTACCAGCATCTCCTCTTTTAAAAATAGCTGAGCGTGTCCTGGTTGATAGGGACAGACAGACAGACCGTTAGTGTATCTGTTATCTAGATTCTTTTCTATTATTTTTGCTAAGCAAATAACTCCATCGCAGTCCTACAAATAACTATGTATAGAGATACCCTCACAGCTCTGTTAGCAGACACTGGTCCAGCCTTTGACTCATTTACTGGTCCCCATGAGTCTCACGATGCTGCTCACGGTCTCGCTGACTTGAATGGCACCGCAGGGTGGGTGGCCCCTGCCTTGGCAAACGGGTCTGATTGCATCGGCGCTGTCTGGAGCCGCGCTCAGCACCTCCCCAAA